AAGTCATTCAAAAAGAAAGTGGTCCTTGTGTTATCATATCCTCTGTTCTTTCAGTGGTAGGCAGACAGCCAGCATTTTATGTAAAATATCTGATTTTCAAATGTGATTAACTATTATTTTAAACACTGTATGTATATGGGGAAAACAAAACTTATCTATGGTTCACATTCAGCTCAGACTACCACTTTATAATGTGAGATGTAGGCCACACAGTTTGAAGAGAAGTCTGATTTAACTAGACACATGCAATTTCCTGGAGAAATGGAAATAATTAATTCTAGTATTATCATTGTCATCAGTTCTATATATTGACAAAGTTCCCATCCTTCATTTTTACTACAACATAAACAACTTCCTTCAGAATGATGGTAAGGTTTGAATCTTGCCATCAATATATGATGAATTCTCAAATATTTGAAGAAGAAAATAAAACATATGGGTCTTATTTTAATTTACTGAGAACTATGAGAAGATCTCCCACTGTATTTTACAAACAACTTCTGAAAAAGGCAAAAAAATCCTTCTGAAATATAATTTGATTTTTGATCCATGAGCCCATTTGGCTACTTTTTGGTATGAAAGAACATGGTATTTCAAAGTTCTCAAAGTATCCACCAGGTGGAGGTCACCTGGTGAGTATTTGTCTCTCTCCTTTAGAGCATTCTTTATATAGGTAGTGCTGCATATTAGGAAGAACTTTCATCATAGCTAAAAGCAGAACAGCTGATAAAATACTTGACTTCCCTTTATGACTTCATCTCTTGTCAAGATAATCACTAAGCAACTGGATCTTCTGGACTTAATGAACAAAATAGAAGAGTTGGCTGCTAAAGTGGAAGAAACCTGAAGAGATGGTGACAGAAAGGCCTTGCCAGGCAGCAAGCACACTTGAGAAAGTTCAGGAAAGTATACATCTTCTCTCCACCAGAAAAACTAATAGGAGAACTCATGATAGATAATTTTGTGGTGAAGGGAACCCTAACAATGACATTCTGACTAGACAATTACAAATATGCCTAAATACAAGTTCTACAAAGAAATTTGAGTGGCTTTGCAAGGACCCTATAAGAAGCTCAGACTGTCTATCAAAGGGCATGGAAGGAGCATCTCATTCCCAGTGACGAATAACGACATATAAGAGGAAACTGCAAGCATGATAAAGAAAGGCTCTGAGATCCAGAAGACCACTACTTAGAAATGCTGAAGATAACAAAAAAGTGGTAGTGGAGGATCCTTCCCAATTTCTTAGTTCTAAGTTTACAAGAGCTTGGATAGGTCCAAGAGCTTGGATGATTTTAGATAAGACATATACTGTCCAAAGAGCAAAGGCAATTTTATTCTATCCCTAGGAGGCTTTTGCCTTCTTTATCAATGATCGTACCCTTCAAACTTGATAGGCAATGTTTACCAGAGCTAAAGCCTGAGATAAGGGACAGCAAATAAGTACCTGGCTTTATTAAATGATATTCATTTGTCAGGCCCACTGATGAAAGAATGTGGCATCCACTGAATTTTAGAATTAGAAAAGACATCCTTGACTGATTAAGATGATTCAAGATTCCCTTGTTTTGAGGCCCACGGGAGCCCAGGGATTTTCGAAAGTAGCAGTTACTCAGGTGTGCTAATTCCTCATCCTATCTCAGGTTGCCTATTAAGCTTGCAGGTGTGTTTTCAGGACCACTGATGAATCAGGAGAACAGATGGAAGATCAGTGATGCCCCAGGGTGTCAAAGCATGGAAAAAGGGGAAAGGGCAAAATTTTTAAGTGAACAATTCAATGGATTCTTTGTCAGAATTTAGAGGTTCTAGTTTTTTCAATCAATTGGCTTTGTACTTTTCCTCAGAGCTTAATTAAAGACTATTGGCAACTGAATACTCATGTCTATGTGCTCTCTATTAGTATAGTACAAAGCTAATGAAGAATTGACAAACTTCACCAGCTATTTCTTTGGTTTTCTAGGTTTAAATTAATTTTAATGCCATTTATCTGTCCATGTCATTTAAAGTTATATATCTATATCTATCTCTATATCTATCTCTATATCTATCTATCTATCTAAATAAAATGTTGACACATCATGTGAGACTGTTAGAAGTTGATGAAAATAAAGGTGACTCTGGACCCTTGGCAAAAACCACTGCCATTTTGTGTTACGTTACATAACATTCTGCTAATACTACAGTGAATTCCTTCAAATAGTAATACTTGAGCATTTAAATTAATAGTTGCTAAATCATATTTAATTAATCTGCTTTACTTCTGGCCAATCATTCCGATTCCCAGTCAGGGCACATGCCTGGGTTGCAGGCTAGTTCCCAGCAGGTAACGCATGAGAGGCAACCATACACTGATATTTCTTTTCCTCTCTCCTTCCCTTCCCCTCTCTCTGAAAATAAATAAATACAATATTAAAAAAAAGAGATAGCCAACCTATCAGATGCACAGTTCAAAATACTGGTGATCAGGATGCTCTCAGACCTGGTTGATTTTAGTCACAAATTAGATGAAAAAATGAAGGCTACACTAAGTGAAATGAAGCAAAATGCACAGAGAACCAATAGTGATGAAAAGAAAACTGGGACTGAGATCAATGGAGTGGACCAGAAGAAAGAAAGAAACAACCAAACAGAAAAGAATGAAGAAACAAGAATTCAAAAAAAGGAGGAGAGGCTTAGGAACCTTCAGGACATCTTTAAACGTTCCAACATCCGAATTATAGGGGTACCAGAAGGGGAAGAGGAAGAGCAACAAGTGAAAAAGTTATCTGAACAAATAATAAAGGAGAACTTCCCCAATCTGGCAAAGGAAATAGACTTCCAGGAAATCCAGGAAGCTCAGAGAGTCCCAAAGAAGGTGGACCCAAGGACGAACACACTGAGCCACATCATAATTACATTAGCCAAGATTAAAATGGAGGAGAGAATTCTAGAAGCAGCAAGAGGTAAGGAGCCAGTCAGCTACAAAGGAGTTCCCATCAGACTGTCAGTGGATTTCTCAAAAGAGACCTTACAGGCAAAAAGGGGCTGGAAAGAAGTATTCCAAGTCATGAAATCCAAAGACCTCCAACCAAGATTGCTCTATCCAGCAAGGCTTTCTTTTGAATGGAAGGGCAGATAAAGTGTTTCTCAGATAAGATCAAGTTCAAGGAGTTTATCATCACCAAGCCCTTATATGAAATGTTGAAGGGACTTGTCTAAGAAAAAGAAGATAGAAAATATGAACAGTTAAAGGACAGCAAACTCACAGTAATTAACAACCACACCTAAAACAAAAGGAAACTAAGCAGACAGCTAGATCAGGAGTGGAACCATAGAAATGGAGATCACATGGAAGGTTAGCAATAGGAAGTGGGAGGAGGAGAAGGGGGGAGAAGGTACAGAGAATAAGTAGCATAGAAAATAGACAGGGGGAGGGCAAGAATAGTATGGGAAATGTAGAAGCTAAAGATCTTGTGACACATGCATGTGAACTAAAGGGGGGAATGGGGTGGGAGGGGGTGTGCAGGGTGGAGGGGAATGAGGGGGGGGAATGGGGCAAGTGTAACAGCATAATCAATAAAATAAATTTTTTAAAAATCTGCTTTAAATATTTCTTCCATTTATAAAACAAACAAAGAAACCACCTTGGCTGGTGTGGCTCAGTGGATTAAATGCCGGCCTGCAAACCATAAGGTTGCTGGTTTGATTCCCAGTCTAGGGCACATGCCTGGGTTGTGGGCCAAGTTCCCAGTAGGGGGTGTGTGAGAGGCAACCACACATTGATGTTTCTTTCCCTCTCTTTCTGTCTCCCTTCCCCTCTCTCTAAAAATAAATAAATGAAATCTTAAAAAAAAGCAATTATCATATTAGTGCTCTATAGTGGTACAAATCAGAAATGATACAATTTATTGGAAGTAAAATGTGGCCACTTAACATTTATTCCACATTACATAGTACTTCCAAATGTTTACTTTTATTCTCTGAATAAGGAATGAACCACTCAGAGTTTCTAAATATTTTTTTCCTAATGAATGCTAATAACATACATTATAACATTCTACAGAGGCAAATGCATTTTTTATTTGTCAGAAACATTATACTGTCAAATTGGGTATGCATAATTGCATTCACTTGATTTTTTGCCACATGTTTGATTTATGGAGTTATTTCTGAAACCTTGGGAACTAATCTAATGCCAGTGTTGGGACTTCACTTCCTCAGGAAAAGTTTCTGAAAAAGGAGTCATATTAAGAAGTTATGGAAAACACATAAATACCACTCTACATATCACCATGCATTTTCTTTAACTTAAATTACATCCCGTAAGTCTTCTGGGAATTCTGCAGTGATAGATCATGCTTTTTTGGTGTTCATTTCAGTTTTTGGCAAACAAGTGAGTGTTTTGTGTTATGTGTATGCAAACTTCCATACAGATAAACATAGCATAAAAGGAAGGTCAAGATAATGCTTTGGTCTTTTAGGAGCCAAGGAAATATCATGAGAGAAGACTAGTCACAGAAACTGACTAAACCAAATTAGTTTCCAATGTCATTTGTGCTTTTTCAGACCAGTCACTGAACCATGTGCAGCACAGCTCTCTGTTAAGAGTGCACCTTTGCCCTTTGAAATGTGTCCTAGGGCCAAGTCCAAGGGCCAGAGAGGAGCCAAGAGCAACGGTGTTTGCTCAAGACAAATCTCAGCAAGGAGGCAAGAATCCTGGTAACTCAGCAAACTCAAGCTCTCATTTCTCCAGGGACAACTTAATGTCCTGGGTTCTTTTTGTCCCAGAGAATACTATTTCCAAATAGCATTTTCTTCCTACAAGTACAGCTCTGTAAAGTATCTGGCAAATGAACAACATAACTGATGGTAGGGGTTTCGTAATGTTTTTGCAAAATGATGAAGATCTCATATGGTGGAATTTTTGGATAGCAAAATCTGAAGACTGAATTGAGGTATGACATATGTTTCGGTCTTTGAGATGTGTCACTGGCCTCAATAACAGTCATACTTTCCCCTACCTGCATTGTGCTTTGCCAAATATTTGTCTTTGTACTGCTTCTTTTTCTTGCCAAACCAAGTACAGCTGGCTTGCTGCTCCTGTTTGGTCTTCTCCATGGCGATGCAAGCTACTCGCCTAGCACACAAAGAAAGAAAGAAAGAGAAAAGAAACTAATGTATAGTTTTATGTTGGTAAAAGGGGAAAATAACCATTTTGAAGAGTTTACATCAACCTGCATGAACATACCCCTCACAAATTTTTCAAGTCATTCAGATAAAGGTTGTTCCTTGGGTTTCACAATAATTTCCTAGAAATGGTTTAAAAACACAGGCTTATAATAAAATGACATTGTGTTCTTTGGGCATATACTAAATGATAACACAGATGAGGAGCCTAAACATATGACCGTGACATATAGTGGAAAGGTCTGGTTTGATTATCATTTAATTAGCTTTTATTGATTTAAGTTAGGTGCTTTTCTGGGAAGTTTACTTGTATTAACTCATTTAGTCTTTTGAAACACATAAAATTGCATCACCACTTTACAGGTGAGGGGATCAAAGGACTGAGAAGTTAAGTAATTTGCCCCAACTCACACAGCTAATAAGTGGGAGAAGGAGGACAGTCTGGCATCAGAGCCCATGCTCTTAGCCAGTACTTTACTGGTAAGTTCTTTAACCTCTTAGAGCCTTTTGGATGGATTAGAACAAAAAGTGCTAACAATGTCCCTAGCACGGTGGCAGGCATAGTAGATGCTTAATAAATGGCACTATTACTACATGGAAATTCTAATCTAAGATATAAAAAATGCTAACATTAAATCCACAGTTAGAATTACAATTAGGAAATTATAATTTTGTTCTACATCATAATATTCACCACCTGTAACATATGCACAAATGTTATTTATAAGTTGCTCTCTAAGCAAGTAATTGTTTGATATTTCCATATCACACAAGTAACAGGCAAGTAATGAAATAACTGTGTTTTGAGTATGCGTTTACTGATTATTAATGAGATTGAACACCTTCTCATGTTTATTGGCATTCCTCTTTCATAAAGTGCCTGTTCAAGTCTTTTAACCATTCTCCTATCCAGTTGTCTGTCTTTTTGATTTATAACAATTCTTTACACCTTTTTGTTAGTTATACATGTTGCAGATGTTTTCTACTTTGTGGCTTCCCTGCTTTATCCTTTTTATAGTATCTTTTTGATTAATATAACATTTGTTTTGATCTAGTCACTTTGGCAATCTTTTCTTTTATGGGAAGTATTTTTCATATCTTGTGTAAGAAATCTTCCTTTGTATCTGAAGATATACTCCAACATTACCTTCTCAAGAGTTTCCAGTTTTTTCTCTCACACTTTAGTTTTTAATACACTAGAACTTGATGATTTTTACACTGATTTCTGTGTATGGTGTGAAGTTAGGGATTGTCTGTCTTGTCCACATCCCCCCCACCAGGGATACCCAATTGTCCCAGCATGAATTATGGAAAAGTCTACCCATTCCTCGCTAGTGACTATTTTAATGTGTGGGAGTGTTTTAGGGTTCTCTTCAATTGATCTTTTGAGCATCTCTATACCTATACCTTATTAACTTAATTACTATGTCTCCTTTTCCCCTCTTTGCCCCCCTCCAGCTTTATAAGTTTTGGTGTCAGGTGGAGTATGATCTCCCTCCATAGTCTTCTAGAAGAGCATCTTGGCTCTTCCTGATCTTGGGAATTTCCATGAAAACTTTAAAATTAGCCTATCAATTTAAAAAATGGTTGGGACTGCACTGAATCATTCTGGGAGGAATAGACATCTTTATAATACTGAGTCTTCTAGTACATGAATACAATATGTCTCTCCACTTATTTAGGTCTTCTTTAATGTCTCAATAAATTTTAAACCTTACCCTGTAAATGTTTTGAACATCTGTGTTATATTTGTTTCTGGGTTGTTCATTTAAAAGAAGAGTTTTATAAATGTATTTAAAAATTTTGTAATATCAAAAAATTCGAACATACATTAAAAGTAGAGAATAGTATAATGAACCTCAAGTACCTAAAGTCCAGCTTCAACACTTACTAATTCATGGATTATTTTGTTTAATTTACAACTTACCCACCCTAGATTGTTTTGAAACAAATCTAAGTTTCTATTATTTCCTCCTTAATTATTTTAAATTCCCTTTAAATCTATAGGGTCCCCCTCTTCGTTTTTCCTTCTTGCAATTTATTTGTTGCAGAAACTGGTTGTTTGTCTTATAGTTTCCAATTCTAGATTTTTCTGATTTAATCTCTGTGGTGTCTTCCGTAAATCCCTCTGTGTTTTTCCCTTTCCTGCAAATAGGTAATTAGATCAAGAGGCCTGATCAAATTTAAGTTCCATATTTTTTACAAGAATACTTTATAGTATTATGGGTTTACAGGTGGTGTTATGTATGGTATGTTAAAAATTTTTGTTTTCTGTTTGTTGTTGGTAAATAGGAATATACTTGATTTTTGTATATTGATTTTCTATCAGTCATCTTGTTAAACTCTCATATTGTCTGTTTATCTATTGATTCCTTGGACTCTCTACACAAAGATCATATCACCTGCAATTTTTTTTCGTTTCCAATAATGTTTGCTGTAGGTTTACTGTGAATGCTCTCAATCAGGTTGAGGAAGTTCACTTTAATTCAGTTTGTGAGAGCTTTAATCATGAGTGGGTGTTGAATCTTATCAAATGCTTTCCCTGCACCTATTGATAAAATCAGGCAGATTTTCTTTTTAGTTCATTAATATGGAGGATTGGGTAATTAATATGACTGGTTTTCAACCAGCCATGCATTTCCAGTTCAAACTCCATTGGGTCAAATGGTATTGTCCTTTTTATATATTTCTGGATTCAATTTGTGAATTAGGAAGTGCTGGCATCATGAGATGAGTTGGAAAATGTTCTCTTTTGTTTTCTTGAGGAGAATGTCCTTCATGTTTCTTACTTTCTCTTATTCACTGAGGGTTTTTTTTGAAATTTATTTCTTTATTTTAGGTTAGGAGAAAGACATTTATTGGGAAATACTGTGAAATCTTAGCAACACATCAAAGTCAACCCCCATATATTGCCAAAGTGGAATACAGAGGAGGCTGATGAAGACTTTGCTTTGAGGATTCTTCCAGTTATAAGCCAATGTGTGCTGGTAGTCATAGCTATAGCTTCTGTGAGGCATAGAATCTCTGGGAACATAAACAGGACTGAGGAATTTTTGACTAGTTAAAACAAAATTCTGACCTTGTGAAGTTTATATTATAGTATACAGAATATCTTATAATACATACGTTTAAGCTTAAAAATGAAAACAAAAAGTTCCCACTAACAGTTTGTGGTGTGGCCATACATGGTGTAGTGATAGGGGAATAAAAGGGGTTTCTACCAGCCACTTGGGATCTGAATGTTATTTCTTTAGCTCAGGGAGCTAAAAGAGCAGGGAAACTGTTTAGGATTTAGGTCAACCAGGAGGGAAATTTGAAACAAGTTTAACATGTTATTGTTGAGGCAAGGGAAGAGATGACAGATTCAGGGACTCAAAACATATCAAAGGCATAGAATGATGAGCCTTGCCAAGCAAGATTAAATTTATTGAGGATAAATAAGGTAAGCATTTGAGTCCAAAAATTGATTTCTCATCTATAGGGTGTGAAAAATGTAAGGTGGTAGAACATATTTGAACAAAGCTTTTGGGTCTGGTTGATAGTATTGTTTCAATTTTTTCTTGTTAGTATTGCATGCCCACTGACATCTTAAGACCAGTTCAATTTTCCAGCAAGAGATTTTGCTGTTTCCCCTCAGCCGGAATGCCTTCTTGTACCACCACAGTCCTACTTAGGTCTTAAGGCACATACTACCCAGTGGGCCTCTTCCTCATCATCACAGTTAGAATCCCTTTCTTCTACAGGTTTTGTAGCTTATAGAGTTCAGGTTTTTTTTTTTGCAATGAACTGAATGTCTTTAACGTGTATAATTTCATCAATTTGGACATATCCTATGAAAACATCATTACAATCAAAAGAACAAACACATTTTCATCACTCCAGGAATTTCCTTATGGCCCTCTGTAATCTCCCTCCCTCCTACAGAGCCCCAGGCAATCTCTCACTATAGATTAGTTCTGCAATTTTTGTATAAATGGAATCATATAGTTTGTTCTCTTTTTTGCCTGAAAATTCAGCGTAGTGATTTTGAGTTTCATCCATATTGTTTTACATACCAAAAATTTCATTCTTTTTAATAGCTCAACAGCATCCCATTGTATGAGTATGTCATCATTTGTTTATCCATTTAGCCATTGATGAAAACTTAAAAAAATTTAAGCCTTTCTAACAGGTATGTGGCCACTGAGTTTTGCTGCTGCATTTTTTTTCTTGGAAGTTCCTTTAAGTTCTTTTTAAAATCTGCTATGTCATTAAAAATTTTCCTGTTCTCTGAAGATAGTTTTCAAACTTATTACTGATCGTTAAAAACCTCCTAAAAACCACAGTTGTTTAAAAACTTTTGTCTCCTCCTGGCTGGTGTAGCTCAGTGGATTGAGCGCGGACCTGCAAACCAGACAATCGCGGTTCGATTCCCAGTCAGGGCACATACCCAGGTTGCAGGCTGGTTCCCTGCAGGCCAATTCCCAGCAGGGGATGCATGAAAGGCAACCATACATTGATGTTTCTCTCCCTCTCTCCTTCCCTTCCCCTCTAAAGATAAATAAATAAAATTAAAAAAAAAACTTTTGTCTCCTAATTCTAATATATGAAGTGAGCTTGGGTTTATTTCTACTGTCATTTCAGTTGGATCTCTGTCAGGTTTCACTTGTTTCCTTATGTGCCTGGTTATTTTGACTTGCTGGTCACTGCCCTTGAAAAAGTTTATATAGGGGATTCGGAGGAGCTCTAAGATGAGGCCTAAGATAAAAGTGTTTTTGTGAGACTATCTTTTTGTTCCTAACAGCCAGTTAAAACTTTTGGGCACCACTCTGCCTGGTTTCAGGATTGTAACTGCCCCCTATGGCTAAGGCAGAGTGAGTGACCTTCAGACCATAAGCCACTAAGGAGACAAAGCTTATCTCCCTGGCAGGAGCGCACCGCTTCTGCTCCTTTTTCCATAACTGGCCCCCAATGCTTGATCAGTTAGCCAATGATGGGTAAGATTCCCCAAGGGGGGAACCACCTAAGACAGGCATGATCACGTGGAGGCCCCAGGGAAGGACTTGTGGGGTTATGGAGAAAGGGGGTGATGGACCCTTGCCCCTGGCTGTGATGAAGCCTGAGTCCTCAGTCTGTCTTCAGAAATCTCTGAGAATTCCTTGGCTATCTGATTCCTCTGCCTGACTTAAGCCTGAAAACAATGACAGAGGGTGGTACAGCCCTGTGCTGAGAATGGTGGGCTCCCCGAGTGATTGGGCCTGAGAAAGGATATGTGAAATCCTGTGAAGCCTGCTTTGCTAAGAATGCTCTTAGTTAAATGATAAAGGTCTAGGCAGCAAATGAGTTTGTTTTCCCAAAGTCTTGTAGCCCTTTAGCTAATAGACCCTGACTCAGAAGAAGCCCTAATAGTTCTTTGTATGCTATCTACTGTTTGATCCTTACTGCCTGAAAATGATTAATAAGTTGTACCTGAACTCCTGTGCAAAAAGCCAAATAAAAGCCTGCCTAGGGAAGGGTCAGTACGCTCTCCCCTTGAGAGGGTGGCCAGGCCGTTCTGAGGCACTCCCCCCTCAAGGGGGTAGCTGTGCAATCCCTTTTCCTCCACAGGAGTTGGTAGTCTGTGTGAATTTGTCTTGATTTTCTATCCATAATGCCGTGGGTACTGCAGGCCAGTGCACATATCATGAAACTATTGGGAAATCTCAAATCAAGTGCGTGGCTATAGTTTCCCTGACTGTCCCAAGATACCTGCCCCTGGGTGGACTGGTGGCCACAATTTTTGTTCTTCTTTTACTCCTGTCTTTTGCTTTGCTCATTAACAAAGCAGGCTTCTCTACAGTCCCCTGCTGTTGAAAGGCAAGTAGAGGCATGCTTACCTGCTTGCTCTGAACCCGGGGCATAGCCTTTTGCAGTCCTAACATTGTGGAAAGGGTCTCCTAACAGATTCTCTTACTTGTATGGGCTTTGGGTCTTAACCTTGGTCCTCTGGCAGAGAAGTTTTACAGTAATTGAAATGCTCTCCTGGCTAAACGGTAATTGGTACTTGAACTTTTATTGCTCTGATTAATGGCTTTCATAGAAAAATTGGTCATTGAGTTCCCCAATACCTTTTCAGCTACTCAGTGCTTTTAAGGTAATTTTCAAAAGTGTATCTTCTCCAGCACTTTTCATTTTATTCAGCAGGAGAATTGATTCAAATAACCTAGTTCTCCACTATAGGAAAGAGGAAACAAACTTGCTTTTTCCGCTGCCATTTCTCAGGATTGCTCCAGAGGATTTGGAGTTCCATAGTATTGAAACATGATTTATACAAATGATCTGACTAGGCAGAAGAGGTGTGGAATCTACATAATTATTTTCAGTAAATGCTCATAATACAGCAACATTCAAAAATACATTTTCTAAAACATAGATATCAGTAATACTATAATAACATTATCAGCATCATCAAAATGACTCTTCCTGCAAATGCTTAGACTGTTTCTTGAAGATCAGATTGAAAGACAATCCCAAGTGGAAGGCTGCTATGTCCTCTAGCTGGGCTTACAAATCCTTGTGAAAAATGATGGCAGCTGAAGTTCTTATCAGCTCTTACATTCTAAATTTAAGACTACTTTTGGGAAACAGGGGATAACTGAAAGAGGCAATCAAACCAAAGTAATTAACTGAGAAATCCCTTTAATTAGTGAGAAAAAACACGTTAAAAAGGAGTTATAAATATCTATGAGCTCGACGCCTCTCAATTCTTTTAGGTAGGTTCAAGTATTTTGGGAGAAACTGGTACAATGCCTAATGGTTATTTTTTGTCACATGAAACAAAACTCAGACATAAAGTCATCTCTTTTGCACTAGATTTATGATAGACTGTCAAAAGACCAACAAAGGTAAAACTATCAACACTGTTCAAAAAAATAGTTCCATCCTGGCTGGTGTAGCTTAGTGGATTGAGCTCGGGCCTGTGAAGCAAGGGTCACCAGTTCGATTCCCAGTCACAGCACATGCTTGGGTTGCAGGCCAGGTCCCCAGTAGGGGACACATGAGAGGCAACCACACACTGATGTTTCCCTCCCACCCTTTCTCCTTCCCTTCCCCTCTCTCTAAAAATAAGTAAATAAAATCTTTAAAAAATAGTTTAATGAAGCAAACCGTAACAATAATAGTAGAAACAGATTTACCAAAATACACAGTAATCTGTGACTCCTCTCAGTTAAAACTAGTGTCTAAAAACTGTCTTTCACCTGCTTTCAAAGGTCAAACTTTCTAACAGACATACATTTAAAGACCTGGTAAGGTAAAGAACAAAGCATCTGATTACCTTTTTCTTCCATCAGTGAAATACATTTTATCTTAAAATAACATGAGTGATGCTTAATCAGGGCATTTGAGTTTTTTGCTGGTGGTGGAGTGGAATAGGGTGGGTGGTAAGAGCATGCAGAGGGGCATGGAGAGAAACATTTAAAAAATTCGATTCTAGCCTTGGCCAACATGGCTCAGTTGCTTGGGTGTCATCCCACAAACCGAAAGGTTGCAGGTTTGATTCCCAGTCAGCATACGTGCATAGGTTGTGGGCTTGGTCCCCAGCTGGGGCATGTATGAGAGGAAATCTATTAATGTTTCCCTCTCACAATGATGTTTCTCTCCTATCCCTCCCCCCCTCAAAAATAAATCAGTAAGCATGTCCTTGGGTAAGGATAAAAAAATGCATTTCTAACAGGATTGAAACAGCATATAGTAGTGGTGGAATCTGCCATGATGTGACAGGGACCTGAGGCTAGTTATTCAAGCTTTCTCTAGACCCTCCTCTGTCCTGCTATGTAAAACAAAGATCTTACTGTATAAGTAGGAACTCACTAGATGCTGAGGATTTAGAATTCCTTGATGACTAACTTGAATTTTGTTTGGCTAGTAAAGCAAGGAATAGATTAAACAGGTTTTATACACCATAAAACAATAATATAAAGTTAGAAAATGGATGGGTGGGGTTTCATTTTTATTATAAAACAAAACAACAAAAACATACCATTCCTGAAGTTCAGGAGAAGGAATGAGACCAGCAGTTCCATTTTTGGAGTTTTCCAGTTTACCCTGCCACCAATTGTGATCATCCTTACTAATAATCTGGATAATGTCACCAACTCTGAATCGAATGCCAGCTTCTTTGCAGGGGATGAGATCGTCCTTGGCTGGATCATATTCAAATTGTGCTCTTACATAGATCTATAAAACAGGAGTTTGTAAGAAAGGATGCCATGGTGATGTGAAAGAAAACAGTGCTAACCTAATAACTACACACCAGCACTTACAATACAAACAGGACATTAGATGGTGAAAACAAAAATGATGCATGGAAATACAACAAACAAAACCACTGGAAACAATGTATTACTTTTGATGTGTACAGGTTTAAATCTTTGTTGTTTTTATTTGTAGGGAACATTTAAGATACTTGTTTTTGGATTTTACTGTAACAGAATAGGCCTATAATTATAGAGATGTATGCTTACCATTGTAAAATCTGCATATGTTTAGTTGATGTTATGGATAAGATGTCATGAATAAGTGGCAGCCTCTAAGCCATAAACACAAGCATTCAGGGTAGAGTTTAACCCTAAAGCACTAAATGGTACAAAATTAGCAAGAACACTGTGTTGGTATCGTGCTGTAACATGCCTACACAACTGGTTGAGTGTCTACACACTGCTGATAAACTTAAATGTGATTCAAACAATTTTTAAAAACATTTAAAAATAGTTTTATTTTTTAAAAAAGAATTAGGCTTTATATTGATATTTTGCTCTTTGTAGAGAAGAAAAATAAATGTGAATCCCAGCTTTGCCAATGTAATGCTTGAAATCAGCACAGAGTTCAAGGCTTTAAGTTTTATGATATATAAATATAATTAGTAAATATTATAAAATAAAACAGATTAGCATATAGGGGGTTATCATATGGTAGCATTTTATGAATTACTATATTTCTAAACGTTTTAAAATAAGGTGGTAGGTATAAAATGCTGTATTACTTATGCAGTCAATACCAAATGGTGGGCAAATCCTATCAGGGCTAATTTATACAAATTTTAACTCTAAATTGGATTATTTTTAATACCACATTTCATGAAAAAGCCCACAAAAATTCTATCTCTGAAAATTAAATTTGAATATTAATGTTTAAGTCACTGTAAAACCAACCTGAAGGCTTTGGGACTGCTGTGTAATTATTCTATTTAAGTTTCTCTTCAGGAATCCAGCCTATAAAATTAACAAGTCTCTGCATTTGAACCTAAAATCCATACTTTGAAGGAGCTGGCACATTGACAGTTACTTGCCAGTGTTAGGCAGCACTTAACTTTTCATGTTTGAGTTAACAGAGGCATACAAGGATGTAAAGCCAGAATATTTACGTTCTTATTTTTCACTGTAAATGCAAATTAAGAAGCCTTCAAATCTCAAAAAATTATTGCTGAAAAACATTCACCAGCATGTACATTTTAGTTATTAGAATTCTAAGAATTTTGTATGCTTTCAAATTTTTTCCACCCCAGAGGCAGGCCCTTAAGACCCCCAAAAGGCTGAATTCTTAAACATTGACATAATTATCAGGTTGAAATTACAATAACCATCACAGCTACAAAGATGTAGGGAAAAATCTTTATAGAGAATTAGTCATGTTTAATGTGTTAAAATGAAATGGTACAAGCTTTCAATGCTCAAATGTTATGGTCCAAAATGCAGACATTATGGGATGGAAAGGGTTAATAAAGGATTGGCTATTAGCAGCTCAGTTTAGAGAAGTTTCTATAGAGGATATCTATTCACCTGTCGTCCTTTTGGTTGGGTAGTTGATGGCAAGTCCTGTAGAATAAAGCCAACCCAGGAGAAAAATTTTCATTTACTTGTCAAGAGTACAAGGTAATTTGTGTGTTCTGTTACAATATGGTTAAAAAATGAGCTAGATTTAAGTTGTAAAGAGATAATATACATCATTCTATTTCTCAGAAATGTTGAGTTATAAAAAAAATCAAACCCAGGCCATTTAGCAGCAAGCTGAAGAAAGCAGGTAAGTTTAAGCAGAGAGAAAATGTGTTCTTGAGAAACAACTCAGCATCTTCAACACAAAAGCCACTGTGAGTGAAACAGCCCTATTAAAAAAAAACCAAACCAAAAAGAGCTGTTGCCCTTTTCAACTTAGTCACTACAACCTTTTAGATTTTGAAAAATTTGATGGCTATATGGATTTTTGCCATCTTAGAAGTATTAAATGTTAACTCTTATAAATGAATTCCTTTATGGCCTATTTTGAAGTTGAAAATAAAAGTCATAGGAAATTTTCTTCCATAATTTCACTTACTGATATCATTCCATTTGAGATGATCACTAAATTATTTAAAATTGTACCTGATAGAAAACGTTGATCTATTTTCAAAGGGCAAATTAATAGTTAGAAAAAAGTGATACTGCTGCATTATTAGAACTCTCAATAATTTTAACAGCAATACCAGCAACTTAGAGAAGATTGTTACCCCCAACTATTACATACTTGCACCTGTAAGTGCTTCCATTTGTTTAAATAAACTAAAAACAATTCTTTTTATATTTCAAAATAGATAGTTCTGAAAAAATACAATTCCAAATTTAAGTAAAAATATAAAGTACTTTGTGTTAAAGATGTGATAATAGCGTGGCTTAAGTGCAGTTTGAAGCCAATTCCTTTTGCTTTTCATATCCAGGCAAGGCTTATAATTCACAAAAATATGTGCACGTACCACAAAAACAGAGGGCACACCAATTCGTAAACTTAGATAGCGGAAACTAATACATGTTGCTGATATCACCCAGAAAAGACAACTACCAAAGCCCAAGACCCAAATCCTGCTCTGTAAACTCTGTACATTTATGTATCTTTCTCAAAATAAAAAAGATATTTAGAAACTTCCAAAATTTTCATTTACATCCTTTGCATAAGTTTGAGCAAAGTCATAAATACTTGTGGGGTGACATAGAAATATTTTGAGAATGACCAAAGCAGTCTTGAACTACATGTCTTTACATGTAACTAATGGACGGGATTTTATTGAGAAGAAAATGCTGAAAACAGATTTTCCAGGAGTAAACTGCATTGTAGCTGTAGTAGCCTTGTATATTGGCAGAAGACAATATTTCCACTGAACACATGTAACTAGAACACTCATGGCAGGTGGCACCAACAAAATTGTCACACTTTGTCGTGTGAAGCTCGAGTTCTTACCGAAACAGAATTGTTAGTGCTGCTATGACCATTAGCTGGGGACTGTCTGGAAGTGGAGGGGGAATCTCTCTGAAATAAGACACAAGGTTCATTAACACAGAACACTAGCACAGAAACAGAGATATTCACATCAACAGTTACAACCACAATCCGACAACCATTTCCTTTGAGGTGTTAGCTGCACAGGTGCCATACTGACTTATTTGCATGTTTTTAGAGAAAGTAAGAAAAAAAAGGTTGCCATTTAAAGATTCACATATTGTAAGTGATGACCGTGTCATTCATTACCAATTTCTTTCCTATCTCCAACATCCTCTAACCTTTGCTTTCTTTAAATGAGACCCAGAAGAGGGACTTGATATTAAAATCTTATCTAATGCTGTAAAGTGACAAGTATTACTATAAAATCATTGTGTTGAAGACCCCAATCGCCTAATTTTTATAAAACAATAGGTTTAAAAAGTATTTAGTAATTTTCAGGTACCTCAATGTAAAAAATTACTGAATGACTTCATTTGAAGTGAAACTAACCTAAAAAAAGAAAAGACTTCTCATACTGTAATCACCTTGGGATCAGTCTAAGACAAATATTACAAATAAGGGTAAAAAACAGATATACACTGGAGAAGAAACATTTATTCTTCAGATCATTTTAGCAGATTGATTAAAACAACAATCTTGAGCCTCTCAGAGCTTTACTCTTCTGGCAAAGATCCCAGGAGCCAAAGCCTTAGTACTTCAACTGCACTCTCCGTAATATTTGACACAATCAAAATCCTTTCCAGGCTCCATTCCCTTACTGTCCAAATCAATTATAATGATAAGACCAAGGAGAAGAAGAAAGTAGGTGTTTTAAAATTTTTGATTTAATAGAGTTCTTTGAAACCTTTGAAATATTTATGCCTGCTTGAAAGACATGTTCCCTTCCCCCCACACCTGAAGATTTAAAGAAAACTTGTGGAACTCATTAGCCTTTTAAATAATGGGATCCCTCAGATGAGCCTTCTCAAATGTTAGTGAGCAGACTGATCTCTGGGTACCACTGCAAGAGACTCCAGTCAGTAGGACCAGGGGGATGCTGATGCAGGTGGCCAGAGAGCATTCCTTTGAGAAGTACTGCCCCAACTGGGAAAAGTACAATCACAGACTTAAATTCTGCCAGAGCACAGGAGGTCAAACAGGTTGGACTGGGGCTGGGAGGGGAGTATCATTTTTCATACTGTTCAGAGGTAAAGAAGGCAAGGGGGGAGCTTTTCTTATTCAACAACATAGAATGTACATGTTTAGTACTGTTTCCACCCTCAAACTAGGTCAACTACTTAAAACTCAAGAGAAACATAATTAATAACTAACAGTATTTTCTGGTTACTTAGTACCCCCACCCTGGCAAAAGACAAAAATCAATCATGTTTACTAAATTTCTTCAATGATGAGAAATGGTATGAGGACCATCTGGGATTTTAGAGTATTAACATGCTTTACATAAAATATATGTGTGATAGTCTCTCTTTCCCAGAAAGGTTTGTGTTCTAGGCAACAAATTTCAAAACTACAAATTCTGGAGAAGAAACAGTTCCCTATTTCCTTTTACAACCAAATATTATTTGAAGTTCCATAAAAAGCCACCAAGAGGAGCTCAAGACCTGATATAAACAGAAACCCCAATTGTCATGGCTCTAAAAATGTACTTAACAAAACTATAAATTCTTATACATCTCTTTAATAAGTTTAGAAAAACACAGAAAGCCTGATTTTTCTTGTGAGATTCATAACATTGCTAGAGAATGAAAGAAGCATTACAATTTCTCCTCCAACTTCTAAGTACAAATTCCATTTCTAGATGAGTTCCAATAAGTTACCTGTCAGTCTTAAAAATTAAGTATAGGAAATGTGTATTTCATAATGATGTACACATATGTGGAAGATGTACATGAAAGAACAGGCTCCAAAAAATAATACTCCAGCTAACTGCAGTGACTGAAGGATGATACCATTTATGCCAGTTTGTATTTCCAAATATAAAAAGAATAGTTCCTTGAATCTCATTTAATAACCAACATAAAGCTGAATAATATAGATTGAAAAAGTGACAGTTTATATAAGATAAGCCTATATTGTAAGAAAGAAACTGATGTTGTATTGCTCTACAGAACTCATTTATAAATCATGTAATGTTCCAAGTTTAAACAACTTCACAAAATATTGCAAAAGCCTATATTCCTCTCATAATGTCAGCTATCAATTCCTCACAGACTTAACATCTATCTAGAGACATGTCACAATTATTTAAATGACTCTATCTTGACAGAAATAGATTGCTTCTCAGATTCTTAGAAAGAAGAACTATGTGATTTCTCAATAAGGGAAGTGAATGTACTTCCTGGAAATGTTATTGCAATTATAACCTTAATTTTTTCCCCTCAGAGACTGTACTTGTTCTTTATTAAGGCTTATGTCATTAACTGTAGCTTCTCTATATTTTGCTTCAATGCCAGCCTGCAGAAAGTTAAAGTGCTAAGGAGGTCCCCACAGAAGTAGGGCTGAGTAGGTGGATAGGACCTACTCTGTTCCGTTATCTTTGTTGTAAAATTGGTGTGCAGTGATCAACAGCACAGGCAGAAACAATTTCCCAGAAAGCCAAAACATTCAGCCATGAGCAGACAGTTAGTTAAGAACCCAGAGGACACAGAATGTTTTGTTAAAGCTATTACCTCACAGGATGATGACTGAGTGCGGTAACTTGGCACGATCTTGAAGGTGATGCTCCCCCGCATTTCTCGCTGGAGATAGAAAAGACAGCTTTCTTAACCAACAAATGTTGCACAAAAACCATGTAAAAAGCCATCAAAAGGTGTGAGGGCAATTAATGTAAACCCAGGTGAGAGCACCTGAGTCTAACAGGAAACCAAGTTATCATGCAGAGACTGCTCACTGTAACAGTTAAATTGTTCCTGGGAGAAGCCCTGCAAAGTCAAGGCTGACTGCCTTGTTCATATAGCAGTGATATAACAGACCTCTGACATGTACCTTTTTATAGACATGAATACAAAAAACTCTAAGTGACACATCTTTCAAAAGTGAATAGAAATTGACCTAGACAATAGAAGTAAGTAATTACATAAAAATATATTTGGTAGGCTACATTATGATGGTATACTACATAAAATTTACTTTTTGTTTCATGATTTGATCCTGTTTTTAACAATAGTAAGTCTTATGTGATCATTTCACACTTAATAGATATTCATAACAGGAGGATGCTATGTTGTGGTGGGAGGATCTGGGACCAGAAGTCCAAAGTATTTCCCTTTGCTTGCCAGAGCCTGTCATTCTGCCCACTGTCCCCCTCCACCCCTAAAATCCAAAGCCTAATATGAACACAGATTTTGGATATGTATGGTCTAATGGCCCAGTCTACTATAACTTTCCTCCCCTCTCTATTGTATAGAAACCCAATACAGCTGGCTATGACTCAGCTAGACAGGAAAGAGGTTTCTGACATTGCTGATGTCAGCAGAGTTGAGGTCAGTGAGAAACTAGTTGAAAGGTATGCATGGCTAGAAAGGTTTTCTTTTCTTTTTTTAAAAAAAGTAGTTGGCTCTGGCTGGTGTAGCTCAGTGGATTGAGCGCGGGCCTGTGAACCAGACAATCGCGGTTTGATTCCCAGTCAGGGCACATGCCTGGGTTGCAGACCAGTTCCCTGTAGGCCAGTTCCCAGCAGGGGACGCATGAAAGGCAACCATACATTGATGTTTCTTTCCCTCTCTCCTTCCCTTCCCCTCTAAAGATAAATAAATATTTTTTTAAAAAGTAGTATATTTTCTACTTAAAGGTTTAAAAAATTTTAAAAATTTTATTTACTTATTTTTAGAGAGAGGGGAAGGGGGAAAGAGAGGGAGAGAAACATCAATGTATGGTTGCCTCTTGCATACCCCCTACTTGGGACCTAGCCTGCAACCCAGGCATGTGTGTGCCCTGACTGGGAATTGAGCTGGTGACCCTTTGGTTCATTCAATCCACTGAGACTTAGCACCTAGGGCAAGGGGGGGGTTTTCTTTAAACATCTGCTTGATTAAAAAAATGGCAGATAAAGCATGAAAGGAGAGTGTTAAAGTCCACACTGCTAAAGATGGTCAAAATGTTTCCAAACTCTGTTGCATGTAAATATTTTCCTTGTCAGTGTTGATGAATGTTGTTTAAGTGCAAGTCCACATACATGGTAGTATCAGAGATAGTCTGATTGCAAAACAATACCCCTTATTAGTGCTTTAAAAAGAAAGCTAACAAACTGAAAGTCAACCTTAGACAAAGAAAAAGAAACTTCCATCTACTCACAAGCATTTTTTGCAGCTGTTCTACTGTTTGGTTAGCCACACTGATGCCATTGATCTCTCGAATTTCATCACCGACATGAAGTGTACCTAAATTACACAAAATTATAAACATGAAATGATAGATACTTTTATAGTAATAAACTCCAAAGCCAGAAATGTAAGTAATTAAAAAAAACTAAGCTAGGACTTCCGCCAAGATGGAGGTTTAGGTGGATGTGCTGTGCCTTCTCACACAACCAAGTTTAGGGACAACTAAATATTAGCATCAGAAAACACAACCAGAACACGGAAAACTGAACTTTTTGGAAGTCCGCTAACAACAAATTCTTCAGCCCGACCGGTAAGGGGCGAAACCGGCGTCGGGTGAGGAGTTACAAAGGAGGGCTTGGTCGGACCCGGCGCGGAATCCAGACAGCGAATCCAGTCGCACGGGTTCCAAACCCAGGATTGGACCTAGTGAGCGACCGAGCAACCCACCGGGTGAACGACTGCAGAGGAGACAGTGGGGAGGCGGTGCAGCATGTTGACTGTGGATGCCTAATTGCGCACGAGTGAGGGAGTGAGCGGTTGGACCAGCGGCGGCCGCGGCGACGACAGACGGTGGCCGCTGCGACAATAGAGGGCACCGCCATTTCCCCGCTCTGACCACGCCCCCACATACAGCGTCACAACCCAGCGACCTGGGACTCCAAGGCACCGCTTCTCCCACTTAAAGGGCCAGAACAGACCAAAAATGTTGCAGGGAGAACTCAAAGCCCCACAGATAAATCTAAGTGACGAAGAAATAGCAAAACTCTCAGATGCACAGTTTAAAACACTGGTCATCAGCTTCCTCACAGATCTGGTGGATTATAGCCACAAATTAGAGAAACATATGAAGGATAAATTAAGGGAAATGAATGGAATTCCACAGGAAACCCATAGAGATGAAAAGGAAACTGGGACTCAAATCAATGGAGTGGACCAGAAGAAACCAAATAATGGACAAACAGAAAAGAGTCAAGGAGCAAGAATTCAAAGAAATGAGGAGAGTCTTAGGAACCTCCAGGACATCTTTAAACGCTCCAATATCCGAATTATAGGGGTACCAGAAGGGGGGAAAGACTCAACCACCAGTGGAAAAACTATTTGAACAAATAATAAAAGAAAATTTCCCCAATCTGGCAAAGGAAATAGACTTCCAAGAAATCCAAGAAGCCCAGAGAGTACCAAAAAAGTTGGACTCAAGAAGAAACACACCAAGGCATATCATAATTACATTAGCCAAAATTAAAATGAAGGAGAGAATTCTGGAAGCAGCAAGAGCTAAGGGGACAATCACCTACAAAGGAGTCCCCATCAGGCTGTCAGCAGATTTCTCAAAAGAGACCTTACAGGCAAGAAGGGGCTGGAAAGAAATATTCCAAGTCATGAAATCTAAAGACCTACAACCAAGATTGCTCTACCCAGCAAAACTTTCATTTAGAACGGAAGGACAGATAAGGTGCTTCTCAGATAAGACCAAATTCAAGGAGTTCATCATCACCAAGCCCTTATTATATGAAATGTTAAAGGGACTTATCTAAGAAAAAGAAGTTAAAGAAACATGAACAGTGAAAGGACAACAAACTCACAGTTATTAACAACCACAACTAAAACGAAAGCAAACTAAAAGGACAGCTAGATCAGGAGTGGAAACATAGAAATGAAGATCTCAAGGAGGGTTAGCAACAGGGGAGTGGGAGGAGGAGATGGGGGGAGAAGGTACAGAAAACAAGTAGCATAGACAGTAGATAGAAAATAGATGGGTGGGGGCAAGAATAGTATGGGAAATATAGAACCTAAAGGACTTGAGACACATGGACATAAACTAAAGGGGGGTAATGGTGGGGTTGGGGGGGCAGGGTGGAGGGGAATGAAGGGGGGAATAGAACAACTGTAACAGCATAATCAATTCAAAAAAATAAATAAATTAAAAAAAAACTAAGCTAAATATTGAAGGCCAATATTTCAGAAACAGGTAGTTTGGCTCATGTAGTAAACTCTAAAACAGATATATCTACTATGGAAGACACAGTTTTGAAAGATGGTTGTGGAAATCTGCTAATCTTTCTAAGAGAGGCAGTGTGTATAGTGGTTTAAAAGTACAGCTTCTATCAGAGGTGTCGAACTCATTTTCACCCAGGGCCACATCAGCCTTGTGGTTGCCTTCAGAGGGCTGAAATAATTTCAGGACTGTATAAATGTAACTACTCCTTAGCTGTTAAGGAGTTGAAGTTATATTTGGCCTTTTGAAGGCAACCATGAGGCTGATGTGGTCCCAGGTGAAAATGAGTTTGACACCCCTGCTCTAGATCCAGTCTGTCTGGGTACAAATCCCAGCTTCATCACTTAGTGGCTTTAAGATCTTGGGTAAGTTACTGAAACTCTCCATGTCTCAGTTTTCACATTTATAAAGTGAAGATGAAAACAGTATCTATCTTATAGGACTGTTGTGAGAATTAAATGAGTTTAATACACTTAGAATGGTTCATAGCACGTAGTAAGTACCATTCAAGTGTTTCCTGCTATTATCTACCAAAAATGATACAAAGGCTCTTGATTTTCAAAGAACTGTGATATAATACCTATGTAACACTAAACTTAGACATACGGCAACCTTTTAAAATAATTTGGGGGGCATTTTAGCATCATGTAATACTTTAAGTAGAAAAAGTGAAAAAGAACCAATGCATAAAAATAATGTTACATAGAATTTTGCCTCCTTATTTATAAACTGTACACATTTACATACTGGCTTATGAAAAGCTCAGTGTCTTTTGTAGGCATATCCTAAAATGCATATAAATAAAATCAGATGCCTGGGATTTGCTTCAAAATAATCTAGGAGAGTGGGCAGTTGGGCAAATAGAGATAAAACCAGTGTGACCATGAATTAACAATAATCCTAGCTGGGTTATGGGAATGTGGGTAATCAATGTACTAATCTTTTCACTGCTTGAACTCATTGCACTGTTCTCTCTACTCATGTTTGGAAAATTAACATAAGACCCCAAAACTATGGGGACTTTTGCTTCCAATATGGCTGATTGGTCATTCAAAGAATTTCTCACAACTATATCCTGCCTAGGACACAACTCTTGAAGTGTTACTGGTCTCACAAAGGGAGTGCAAACCCCTAAGAACACTTTTCCTACTTCCATCCCTATTCTCCCCTTTACACAAAAGAACCCTACGTACTTGATCCAAAGTGGTGGCAAACCAAGGGTAGAATAAAACAGTGGGAAGGGTGAAGGCTATAGTAGCAAAGTCTGCTAGCTGGATTCTGACTGTTGGGCTAAGTTAGAAAAGCTGAGGCTGGGATTCTGTAGAAGGCCAAGACCCAGATCAGTGGCACTCTATGGCAACTGGTACAAGAAGGAACAAACCCTCGCTGGAGGAATACATATCCAGTTTAGGCCCACAGGACTTTCCTCAGTTAGACAAGCAATGAGCTCAACAGCCAAAGATCACCAAACATACAATAAGGAAAAATACTATGGGAGTCATAAGAAACAGGAAAAACAGATTTAGATCTTCAAGGAAGATACATATTGGAATGGTCAGATGCAGAATATAAAAGAGCTATGTGTTAAATATTAGAACAAAATGAAAGGACTGAGTTGCAAGAATGAGCATGCAAAAAGAGATTATCAGGTGTGAACAGACAGATGTGAAAATAAAAATAAGAACAAATGTTTAGTACTTCCAGAAGAGAAAAATATAACTGATGGTATAAGCCAATATGGCCAAAGAGGGAGTTTCAGGGAACTGGAAGATATAACTAGATAAATTTATCTAGACTGCACATCAGAGAAATAACAAAATAAGGAAAATAGGAAGGAAGAAATAAAAAATAGAAAAAAGATATTAAGAAACATGGAGGGGATGTTTAACATACTTCTACCTGGAGTTTCAAAAAAGAGAACAGAGAAAATGAAAATTCTTTTTCTTCTGCAATATTTGAAGAAATAATGGTTGCAAGTTTTTTGTTTTGTAAAAAAGATTTTCTTCATTTATTTTTAGAGAGAAGGGAAGGAGAAAGAAAGGGAGAAAAATATCAGTGTGTGTTTGCTTCTCACACACCCCCTACTAGGGACCTGGACTGCAACCCAGGCAAATGCCCTGACTAGGAATCGAAACGGCAACCCTTTGGTTCACAGCCCGTGCTTAATCCACTGAGCTATGCCAACCAGGGGGTTGCAATTTTTCTTTTTGTTTAAAAGACTTTATTTTTTTAGTTTTAGATTTCTCAATATCATACAGTGGATGCCAGAACATAACAGAATGGTCATCAACCTAAATTTATGCTCTCAGAAAATTTAATCTTCAATACTGAGGCTGAAATAAAATATTTAGAGATAAACACCACTTAAGAGTGTTTGTCAACAAGAGACTAACAGTAAAGCAACTTCTGAGGATGTACTTTAGGAAAAAGGAAAATCCTTCCCAAAGGATGGTTGGAAATAAAAGGATGAAAGAACACATGCTACCAAAAACTAAACTAAAGCTGGAATAACAATATTAATATTACATAAAATAAATTTTAAGTAGAAAGTATTATTAAGGATAATGCTTACCAGTTACTTCTATACACCTAATAAATATGTAAATATACAAAGCTAAAATAAAAAGATCTATAGGTAGAAGTGAAAGAATTCTACTATGATAATGACATACTTAAACAATTATTGATAGGTCAAACAGACAAAAAATTAGTCAAGATATAGAAGATTTGAACAAAAAAATTAACCCCAAGCCTATCGTTATATGAGAATTGTTCATACAATAAAAGAATAAACATTTTCTTAAGTGCACATGGGCCATTTACAAAGTGATTAAAGTGCTATGCTGTATTTTACATTCCCATAACTATTTTGTGGCTACCAATTCGTACCTCTTAATCCCTTCACCTTTTTTACCTAGCCTCTCAACCCTCCTCCCCTCTGGCAACTGTTAGTCTGATCTTACCATTCAATTTTATATTGTCATTTATCAAACTCTAATTTCCTAATTTCTAAATAGTATGTCTCAACAACTCTCCAAGAATGGTGACATAGAAACCACAT